ATTCCTCATTCTACTAACATTCCACATTTCTAATCTGGCTATATCAGAAAATAAAGTTATCAGAAATAAAGTTAATGAATGGACTTAAGTATAAATCAGTATGCAAAATTGTGAACTATGTGCAATAAAATGGTAGTTATAGTTAGTTAGTTAGTTAGGATATTTTATTTGGAACATAACAACAACAATGCTTGAGTAAAGTTCAATATAAAAAAAAAACACAAAATAACACAACAAATCTAAAATAATTTTAAAATCAACTATGGCTTATTCATTAAATTGTAATAGTCCAGCATAGAGGGACTGTGCCACGGTATACCAAAACATAGACGTCACCGACAGCGACTACAAGTAGACATTGTCCAATCAATTTGCTAGAACCAGACACACCCCCACCTGTTAGCAGACTGCTCGGGTAACAAATGTAAACATTTCACCACAGATAAACAATAATTTGTCCGGATACATTATTTTGAGTACATTGTAGTCCAAGCACGGTCCCCCTATCATAGAGTACAAGTTGGTATAATGGGAGAGCGTATCGCATATGATTAGTCTATGATGAGTTCGATATGATGTCTGACTGTGTCAGGGGGCATCACATTAATTACCCACAACGACGACAACTTTTTGCATTCCGCTATTCTCGCTTAACAGCTTCTGGGTAACAGTTTATACTGTGAATCGTTTAATTTTCACAGCTAGAAATGTTTGAGATTTCATGCAGGATTTTGTGAATTCGTGAGAACAAAATTTCGCAGAAGTTATTAAACTGACGCTGTACGTGTCACTAGACGTACACTACGACAATTTTCAGTGCTACAATATTTCGCAATTTTCACGGACTCGCGAAATTAAAGCGGTTTACAGCAGTTGTCAACATTCTATTCAGTGTCGAGGCACAGTCCCGTAAATCTCGTGCCATAGAAAGTATTATTAGGATCGCCATGCCGGCGCTAAATATCTACTTACTGCTAAGTGATATCGCCATCTTGGAACATTAAATCCAGGTACGGCCTGTGAGGGCACTGCACCACAGCAATAGGGACAGGCAGTTTGGGAGGTCAAAGAGAATAACGCACACATACATATAGATGTCTTGGATCCATATAGGGGGTAGTTTATTACTAAAGCACTATGAACTAAGAAACCAGTGTTTTCACAAGGAATATGCAAATTTATGCAAATGCTATGTAAATGTGAACATGCTGACTTTGAAAACACTTGTAACGTACATATCTAAAAACTACAAACTAAACTAATGGACTAAAGTCCCCAAAGATCCAAGACATCGTAGTGAGAGTAGTTGTTACGTAGAAAGTAGTCTGGCTATGAATTGTTTCATTGTTTGGCGCCTCAGGGGAAGGGATGGATGCAGATATTTTCTGAAGGAGTCGCTCTGCCAGTCCCCCAGGAGTTTGATTAACTCAGTGGGTATACCTGAGTACAACGCCCATGAAGCACCACCCCGGTGAAAACTGTGGGTTGAATACTGATCAGCATTATGCACCAATGGAGCCAAAAGAGAGGCCAGACGTTTGGTGAACATAGGA